AAATTTTTTTTTTACAATTGGGAGAAAGGAGATTCGAACTCTACTTTTTAGACAAGGGGATTATGCACTAACTAATGAGCCAAATGCTCGGGGTGCATATGCCATTTAAAATTTTTTTGATTTAGTAATTTATTTTTCATTTACAGAACAAATTGATAATGCTTGGAAATTACGATCGCATCAAAGTCTATTTGGAATTTGCTTTCAAGAGTCAAAGCATGAGTTTCTTGATTCCAATTTTTGATGACTAAAAGAAAAAATCCATTTTTTTTAATTTTGTCAACATTATTGAAATGCCACACCAATCTTCTCAAATTATATCAAATTTTAAATTCATAAGCTTCAGTGAGATAGCAGTCACCATGATATGAGATTTTAGTTAGTGCCTTTTGTCATATACCCTTTTAATTTGTATAACAAAAAGTAGTTAGAAACAATTATTCTTTTTCCCTTAATCGATCATATACTATAATAAAAACAGGAAAACACTTTATCTATTGAACTAATTATGATATTTCAATAGAAAGCATTTAGTGTATTACAAATGAGACAATGATGCATTAGAGGTTACTTAAAAAGAAAAAAGAAACCTCAAGAAATCACGAGTTAGAAATTTAAAGTAAAACCTAAATCATGATCAAAATCTACATTTTATATATTAACTAGATCAAAAAATTTGCTTCTGGATCCATTCACTTCAAATGGCAATTTCAAACTTGAATAGAGTATTATATTTAAATTAGTTTGAAGCAAAAAACACATACACACAGAAATCAACATAATAATTTTAAGGTAATGCCTAAACTTGAACAAAATATTTTATATAATTAGTTTGTAGTGAGAAACACATACAACAGGAAATCAACATGATAGTATAAGGTAATGTTTAAACCTGAACTTTGAGTTTGTTGTTGAAGAGAATTAGTTAAGTCATTTAAAATAAAACCTAAATTATGATCAAAATCTATGTTATATACATCAACTAAGTTAAAAGAGTTGTTTTAGAATCCATTCACTTTGGAAGATAGTGTCAAACTTGAAATAGAATATTATATGTAATAAGTTTGTAGCGAAAAACACATATAAAAGGAAATCAACATAATAATATTAAGGTAATGTCTAAACTTAAACTCTAAGTTTGTTGTTGAAGAGAATTGGTCAAGTCATTTAAAGTAAAACCTAAATCATGATCAAAACCTACATTATATATATATATTAGTTGGGTCAAAAAGATTTGCTTCTGGATCCATTCACTTCAGATGGTGGTGTGAAACTTGAAAAGAATATTATATGTGATTTGTTTGTAGCAAAAAATCACATACAAAAAGAAATCAACATGATGGTATAAGGTAATGTCTAAACCTGAACTTTGAGTTTGTTGTTGAAGAGAATTGGTTGTGGTGTATGAAAGGATAAAAATTTGAGAGTGGGTTAGTGCAGCATTTCAGTAGTGTTGACTAAATAAATAAAAATGGAGCTTTTTTTTTTCTTTGGGTCATTAGGACTTGTAGGGAAGAAACTCATGCTTTGACTCTTTAAACTCTGAAAGTTACATTTCCATAGGGATGTAGTTTTCTTCTTCTTAGTAGCCCACAAACCAATAAGTTGCATGCGTAGATTAAGCATCAAGTTAAACAAATCATAACAAACTATTGGCTCCAACGGTTTCATCATGGTTTGAGATGCTTTATGCCGCTGTTGATCTTAGACTATCTCTATCTATGGAGGGATATGTGTTGTTAAGGGTTAACGGGTGTAAGGGTTGGATAGTTGTATGTGTTAATGTCTTGCGTACAGGTGTTAGTGTGGATCTAGCTTTTGGTTAGGGAGGTGAGTGTTTTATGGCAGCTCGAGGAGCAAGGTCGTAGTGCCCAGTTTCGATATCCAAGCTTTCCTTCTTCGAATTTTAGCAGAACTAAGTATTTTGGAGGCTATAAAAAGGGACTTTCGGAGCAATTAAAGGAGAGGCTTTAACTAGGTTTTCTCTGAGGACAAGTGGCTACAAAACAAGAAAGGTTGTGCAAGATTGAAAGACTGAGGACTTGATACATCTTCGGTTTTTTGTTCGATCACATTAGTTGGAGATTTTTTATGTAATGTTTGGTTGGCAACTCTCTTATAGAAAAACCAAAAATCTCCCACGACCATGACTATGAGAATCAAATCCAAAGGCTAATATATTCCATCTAATTAACAACATGAGCAAAACGTTGTTGTCAGTATATCTCAGATGATGGTATCAACTAGCCAATAAGCTGTGGTTACCCTCAAAATGATAACAGGAAAATAGTTAGGTGCAGCAGAAGGGAGGCTAAGAGGTAATTACTAGCTAACGATACCCCAAGTTACCTTGACTTGAATGTTTGAAACCTTAATGTGGCTGGTAACTATATATCCCTTGAAAGTATGGAATTAATCATTCTGTAGTTTACCAGAAACGAAACTTGTATTCCAATCACACACACCATTCCTTTTTCAAGGTTGTTTCCTTCATTAAATTCCAACTTGTTTACTTAGCTAAACTAAATAAAGAAGTTGGAATTAAGGCACAATTCTCCCATTACTCTACATTCACATGCACTTGTGTTAAATAACTATACATTTGCGGTTGTGATGAGGTGAAAATAAAGTGAAATTTGTTTGAAGAAGTAGGACTTTTGAATCTTCTAAAAGATAATCAATTCCTTTCATTTCACTTCATCAAACTTTTTGGTGCAGCAAAAGTAAATGAAAAGAATAATCTCACAAGAATAACTTATTATGCAATTACTCAATAGGCTCCCATAGCATATTCTTTTAAAAATTTTTTCCAAATATAAATAAAATGTTCTTTTAACATATTTTCCAAAATTTATGAAGCAAATTTCCTTTACTTTCTTTTTATATAAGCATTATTTAAACTTGATTGTTAACACCTTAAATTAAGAATTTAACTTCCCAACTTATCGAATAAATTATGGACATGATTTATTTTTAAGAAAATATATTAATTGATATATTTTGCATACAAAATCAATTATGAGTGCAAGGTGTCTTTCTCTTTTCTTCTTCTTTTATTTCTGATCACCCTTTTAGTTATACTTTAATTTTTATTCAATTCTTCATAGGCATAACACTAAAAAGTCTTAAACAATATTAAAAAATTCAAATAAAATTTTATTCTTTATTACAATTTTTTTTATAATTGAAGAAGAGGGGATTCGAACCCTACCTTTTAGGCAAAGGGATAATGTACTAACCAATGAGTCAAATGCTTGAGTGCTTATTCTTTTATTACGTTCAATTTGGATCTTATACTTTTATTTTAGATTAAATAAGCATTTGCGACTAACAATTTATTAACTGTTATTAATCAAAACGTCACTTGTTATTGTCATTTCACGTGATGTTGATATGGCATACTAACATATCATAATAGATGATGATGATGTAGTATGCTGACATGGCATTTTCATCCTATATGTTATAGTCACATCAAAGCTATATCAATGCCATATCAACACTAGGTGAATATAAAATAATAAATAATATTTTGATTAATAATAATTATTTATGCGGTTAGCAGTTATAAGGATCTATTCGATCCAAAATAAAAATAAAATGGTTTGATCAAGCACAATGGAAAAAAAGAGTTCATTTGAATTTTTCTTAAATAGTTAAGAGATTTTTTAAAAAAAATATTATGCCTTCTTTATATAAGATATGAACTAATATACCTTTTATGCAATTACCTTACTTTCTTATTTGAATTTGGCATAATATATATTTTTTCAAAATTAAGGATATCTATTTACTATTTTTACTCATCTTTTAATTATATTAAATATATATATTATTTATATCTGAACCCTTTGAAATTGAAATCTTGACTTCTCCCTTGATCACGAAGTAATGGTGTAGTTAACTTTACCACCTGCGTACGCTTATATTCATATACGATAGCATCCCCTTGAAAACATATTCCTATGATCAATTTCAACAATATAATTTTGTGCTTGAGATTTTTCAAATGAACCATCATAAAATTCCTAATATATTTCCATTCAATTCTTCTTTTATATATATGAATTCCTTTACAAAAGATTTTCATTCAGATTAAAAATTCATTGCTCTACATTTTTCATAGAAAGTCATTACAATGTGCTAAACAATTAATCATTAAACATTACCATCAGATCATCAGTCTCAAGAAAATATGATTTTCTGCTATATATATATATATATATATAATAGGTTCTAGCAAAGAAATAGTTTCTTTACATGTAAAGTGTCCACCAAATCCTCTTGCAAGCAATGACTGCCGAAAGGGGAATTTGTTTTAATTTTTATCCCTTTGTAATTACACTTTCTTCTGGATGGAAATATATAATGACAAAAATCACAAGGACAAGTACGAACTATCAAAGGAAAACTAGAAATTAACATAAAATATTTCATTTACTAAGCCTTGTAGTGATCTCCAGGTGCAAACACACATGTTAAATAAGGCCTTTGGGTTTGATGCTCCAATTGATAGACTCTTTTGCATAGTTTCTTTACAATTTTTTGTCGTTAACTTGATACCTGAGGATTTAATCCTGTTCATGCAGGTTGCAGCATATATAGGGCAAATTTCAAATAAATTTGCAGAGAGGAGAACTATTTTGTTGAACAATATTTTGATTTAATCGATAATGATTAGGAAATAGGATAAATTAGAGGTTGGAAAATTATAACCAAGCCTATACACACAATAATATATATATATATATATATATCTTATTTTATTACATAGAAATATAATCTTGATACAAAACAACTCAAGAATAAAGAAAAGAAGTGATGAAAAGGAAGGCTTCAATGAGTCAGCAGGGATACAAAGACCTCAAACGAAATCAATCGGGAACCCCAACAAACAATCAATCCAAATACCAAGACAAACTGAAAGAGAAAAGAAAGGAAAGGAATGTGCAAACTTTGCTAAAGAACAATCATGGGGTGCACCGGTAGTCAAAAACGACCTCTCTTCCACAGTTATTGAGTAAGACGCTCAATGAAATTGGAAGATCGAGTTTAATTATGCCTAGGACATTCGCTTTGATGGCAGTGCAAAGACAAACAGCAGCTTCAAGATCAGCCAAGCCTCGAATGAGGGTGCAGCATGGTTTGGTTGGTACGTTACCAAGGTCCACCTTCACCAAACCATCCAGTAAATTAGCACAGACACCCAGGTTCAGGGGATTACAAGTGGACTTGCCCTGCTGGTTGAGGGCACCAAGAGCCATGGCTGCTGCTGCAAGGTTAACAACAGGATTTTCGGAACTTGTTGCAGAATCCTTTGAATTATCATTGGAATTATCTCCACTTCCATTTGATAAATCATCGAAGTTTATCAATCCCTTTCCATTTGATGAATCCCCATTTAATAAACCGTCTAAAATTTCTCCGACTCCATTTGATGAATCATGAGGGTTGATTGTACCATCGTTATTCGATGGGTCATCAACATTGTGACAGCTAACGGAAAAGACCAAGAAGAGAAGGTTGAAGGAGAGAAATAGAGCGGTTGATGCTGTGACCTTCGAAGCCATATCTCAAACGAAAAGAGAGACTGAGTGGTATTTGAAAGAAGGATTGTTTGTTTAGAGAGAAAATTTGGTTAATGTTGATGAAGGTGATCAAGTGAGCAAAGGGTTTTATAGAAGAGAGATACTGACTTCAAAACTAGAAAATGAGACCCACGCAGTCACATTAATTGGAGAAATTTTCCATGTAGTGTTTGGTGACAAACCAAAAATCTCACACGTCTATGAGAATCAGATACAAAGGCCAATATACTGGATTTGATTAATAACATGAGCACAACGTGTTATAAGTATCTAAATAATGCAGATGTGAGATCAAGCCAAAAATTTCTTCTATACATGTGTTTTGCATACAAAATCAATTATTAGTTAGACTTTAATGTTTATTCAATTCTTTATATGAGATATGAGCTAATATACTTTTTATTGATAAAAACCATTACATTTTTTATGCAATTACCTCATTTTTTTATTTGAATTTGGCAATATATAATTTTATCAAAAGGTTCTATTTACTATTTTTTACTCATCTTTTAATTATATTAAATATATATTATTTTTATCTCAATCCTTCAAAGTTGAAATTTTGACTTGTTCCTTGGTCACGAAATAATGGTGTAATTTACTCTACCTCTTGCATATGCTAATATTCACATATGATAGCATTTCCTTGAAAACATATTCCTATGCTCAATTTCAGCAATATAATTTTGTGCTTGGGATTAGAGGTAAGCAACCGGTTAAACCGATCACGAATTCTATTAACGGAATTAATCAATTTTCTTAAGGGATCTAATCAAACCAATTGACTGACTTTTAATTGACTTAACCAATTAACAGATTTTAATTGGTTAATTCAGTTTTAACTGACTTAATCGAATTTTCATTACCTTTTAAAATTTTTTAACGTTTCAATTTACTTAATAAATAATTTTGGAATATTATTTTTATTATTTTTTATGGTTAATATAAGCTTATTTTGGGAAAATTTTGAAAATTTTGTGTTGATATTAAAATAAAAGGAATATAAAACATTTCCACATTAAAATATAATAAATTAGTGACATAATTTTTTACATAATAAAATAGAATTTATGCCACTACCAAATTCAATCAACATGATTTTTACATATATCTATAAGCTTAAAATGACAACAGCTATCGATTTTGTATTTACCTCAAATATAAAAAGGAAAAAGAAGTAGTAAATGAAATAGGATTTTTTTAAAAAAGAGATTATTATAGAAGTTAGTAAACTATCTAATTATAAATCTTATTTGGTCTACTGATTTAAAATCTTAATTCTTAACATAAGATTAAAATTATCTCAATGAAGATTGTAGTGAACTTAGTTTAATAGATCAAGAGACAATAAAAATTGAATAAATAGTTCTTACTTAATTAATTACTCATTTAGACTTTATGTAATTATGTACTTTGTAATTTTTGTAAATGATATATTCAAATAAAACAAATTGATTAATAAAAAAAATCTTTCACATTCACTTGTGTTAAATAATAAGGCACTTGCAGTTGTGATGAGATGAAAATAAAGTGAAATTTGTTTGAAGAAGTAGGACTTTTGAATGTTCTAAAAGATAATTAATTCCTTTCATTTCACCTCATCAAACTTTTTGGTGGGGCAAAAGTAAATGAAAAGAATGATCTCACAAGAATAACATATCATGCAATTAGTCAATAAGTTCCCATAACATATTCTTTTAAAATATTTTGCCAAATATAATAACATGTTCTTTTAAAATATTTTCCAAAATATATCCAGCAAATTTCCTTTTACTTTCTTTTTATATAAGCATTATTTAAACTTGATTTTTAACACCTTAAGTTATGCATTTACCTTGCCAACTTATCAAATAAATTATTGACACTATTTATTTCTAAGAAAATATATTAATTGATATATTTTGGATACAAAATCAATTATGGATACAAGTGTCCTTTTCTCCTCTTCTCCTTTTATTAAGACTTTAATTTTTATTCAATTCTTTATAGGTATAATACTTTAAAAAAATCTTAGACTATACTGAAAAATTCAAAAAAGTCCTCATTCTTTTACCATGTAACATTTATTAACTGTTATTATACTTTTACTTTAAATCAAATAAGCTTTTGTGACTAATGCTATATTAATTGTTATTAATCAAAATGTCAATTGTTATTTTTTTATCATGTGACAGTTGTCATAGTGGATGATAATATAACATGTTGGTATGGTACGATAATATAACTATGTAACATTTTCATTCTCCATGTTAGTGCCATATCAATATCATGTCAACGTCACATGAATATAAAATAACAAGTGATATTTTAATTAATGACAGTTAGTCAATAATTAATCAAAATGGTTCATTTAATTCAAAATAAAAATAAAATTATTTAATTAAACATAATAAAAAATAAAAATTTATCTAAACTTTCTTAAATAGTTTGAAAGTTTTTTAAAGCACTATGCTTGCTTTGTATTAGATATGAGCTAATATACTTTTTACTTATAAAAACCATTACACTTTTTATGCAATTACCTTACTTTCTTATTTGAATTTGGCATAATATATTTTTATCAAAATTAAATATTCTATTTACAATTTTTTACTCGTCTTTTAATTGTATTAAATATATATTATTTATAATCTCCACCCTTCAAAATTGAAATCTTGACTTCTCCCTTGGTCACGAAGTAATGGTGAAATTTACTTTACCACATGCATATGCTCATGTTCATATATGGTGGTATCCCCTTGAAAACATATTTCTATGCTCCATTTCAGCAACATAATTTTGTGCTTGAGATTCTTCAAATGAACCATCATAAAAATTTCTAATATGTTTCACTTCAATTCTCATTTTGTATATATGAATTCCTTTGCAAAAGATTTTCATTCAGATTAAACATTCATTTCTTTACATTTCATAGAAAGTCATTACAATGTGTCAAACAATTCATCATTGAACATCACCAACTGATCATCAGTCTCAAGAAAATATGATTGTTCGAAAGGGAAATTTGCGAGGACCCAATTTCTCTATTTATGAAGTGTGCACCAAATCCTCTTGCAAGCAATGACTGCGAAAATATATATTATTTTATTATATAAAAATATAATCTTGATACATAGCAACGACAAGAAGAAATAATAGAAGTGCTGAAAGAGAAGGCTTCACTAAGTCAGCAGTGACACAAAGACTTCTGATGAAATGAGCTGAAGAACCCCCAATAAACAATCAATTCGAATATCAAGACAAATTGAAAGAGAAAAGAAAGGAAAAGAATGGTCAAGCTTTGTTGAAGAACAATCATAAGGTGCACTGGTAGTCAGAAGACACCTCTCTTCCACAGTTATTCAGTAAGACGCTCAATGAAATTGGAAGATCGAGTTTAATGCCTAGGACATTGGCTTTGATGGCAGTGCAAAGGCAAACAGCAGCTTCGAGATCAGCCAAGCCTCGAATGATGGTACAGCATGGTTTGGTTGGTACGTTACCAAGGTCCACCTTCACCAAACCATCCAGTAAATTAGCACAGACACCCAGGTTAAGGGGGTTACAAGTGGACTTGCCCTGCTGGTTGAGGGCACCAAGAGCCATGGCTGCTGCTGCAAGGTTAACAACAGGATTTTCGGAATTTGTTGCAGAATCCTTTGAATTATCATTGGAATTATCCCCACTTCCATTTGATAAATCATCGAAGTTTATCAATCCCTTTCCATTTGATGAATCCCCATTTAATAAACCATCTAAAATTTCTCCAATTCCATTTGATGAATCATGAGGGTTGATTGTCCCATCGTTATTCCATGGGTCATCAACATTGTGAGAGCTGACGCAAAAAGCCAAGAAGAGAAGGTTGAAGAAGAGAAATAGAGCGGTTGATGCTGAGACCTTAGAATCCATATCTCAAACGAAAAGGGTGATTGAGTGGCTGTTGAAATATTGGTTAATGATGATGAAGGTGGTGAAGTGGGCAGAGGGTTATATATACAAGAGAGATACTAACTTTAAGAACAATTAAAACTTGAAAATGAGACCCACGCAGTCACATTGGAGAATTCCCTATAATATTTTTGGTTGGCAAATCTCCTTAGAGACAAACCAAAAATCTCCCACGTCTCTGACTATGAGAATCAAATCCAAATGCCAATGTATTGGGACTTAATTAATAACATGAGCATAACGTTGTTATAAGTATATCTACATTGCAGATATATGACCAAGCCCAAAATTTCTAATATGCTTCGCTTCAATTCTCTTTTGATATATATATATATATATATATATATATGCACACGTATCTATATAATGCTAATGTGCGGCCACGCCAGAGGTTTCATATTTTGTATAAATATCAATTATGCAACTTAAAGTATATCTTTAACCAAAATTATTATATAGTTAGACTTTAATCTTTATTCAATTTTTATATAAGATATGATCTAATATACCTTTTACTTATTAAAGGCATTAAACTTTTTATGATATTACCTTGCTTTTTTTATTTGAATTTGGCATAATATAATTTTGTCAAAAAGTTCTATTTTCTATTTTTTTTACTTATCTTTTAAATATATTAGATATATATTATTGTAATTTCAACCCTTCGAAGTTGAAATCTAATTGACTTCTTCCTGGTGACAAAGTAATGGTGTAATTTACTTTACCACTTGCACACACTCATATTCATATATGGTAGCATCCCCCTGAAAACGTATTCCTATGCTCAATTTCAGCAATATAATTTTGTACTTCAGATTAGTGGCGAGCAATCGGTAAAATTGGTAAAAGTATTCTATTTACTGGCTTATTTTAGTTGGTTAATTTGGATTTAACTGGCTTAATTGAACTTTTTTACCTTTGAAAATTTGTTTTCAAAGCTTTATCTGGCTTACTTACTATGGCTAGCCTCTCTAAAAGTATTCCGGCCATAAATTTATGTCAAGATGGTCCAAATATTACTCATTTGTTGTTTGCAGACAATAGTATGACAC